GTGGATAAAGAGAAATACTTTTAACTGATGGTATATGGAGGGGATTATAATCAATGTAATGAAACAAGTTATATGAATTGTTGAATGTGAAACAGATGATGTGCCCTGTAAACTTTCACTCAATCCCCAATAAAAACCTTAAATAAAAAAAAAGAAAAAAATGTTTTACATTAGAGTAAGTTTTCTGAAGGAAATGTCACAAAACACAAATTCAAGCACAAAACGAACGATAAAACCTACGATGGATTTGGGGGGAGGAACAAATGATACTTGCGTTACAGAGTAGACACACGGTGACATGGGTAACAGACGGGGCAGGCAATATACAACAAAAGGGAGGCTGGCAGAGGAAAGACGGGGGTGATGGGAAACACAGGGAAGAATGCAGTGTCTGGAAAGCATAAAGGTAAAAGTTGTTAACTGTTGGTGCATGGAGGGGATTGCAACCAGATAATGCAGCAAAGTATATGATTTGCTGAATGTGAAACTTGAAACTGATGATCTGCTTTGTAAACCTTCACTCAATTCACAATAAAAAAAGTTAAAAAAAAAAAAAAAGTAAGAAAAAGAATTGCATAATGTCCAATCTGCTTTGTAAACCTTTATTCAATTCACAATAAAAAAGTTAAAAAAAAAAAAAAAGTAAGAAAAAGAATTGCATAATGTCCAATCTGCTTTGTAAACCTTTATTCAATTCACAATAAAAAAGTTAAAAAAAAAAAAGAAAGAAAGAAAAAGAATTGCAAAAATGGCAGTGTACAACAGATGCTTGCTGTTAAGTGCCTGCACCCTGACATCTTTGGTCCATTGGATTTAAAAGTGATGATTTTATTTTAAAATGCAAATTTTTAACAATGTACTACAACTCATGGTGTGGCGCTGTAGGATCAGCATTGTACTGCTAACTACAAGGTCAGCAGTTCAAACTTACCAGCCGCTCCTTGGAAACCCCATACAGGGTTCACTACTAGTTGCAACAAACTTTACGGCACTTAACAACAATATTGGAACTCATATTTTTATAACTGTTAAAAGTTAAGATGAAAATGTTTAGATAGCAAGATCAAAATATGAGGGGTACAAAGTTTTCAAATTCTTAAAAGGGACTAGTAAACAAACATGTAGGAAGATTGATGTTTATCAGTAATGGCAAGTCTCTAAAGAATTATACAGCATGGATAATTTTAAAATGTCTTTCCCAAGTGCTCTTCAAGCATTCATTGTCTAGTAGAACTGGGTTTTCCTTTCACACTAAATATAAATTCTGAAGTGTATATGAAATAGAAATTCTTGACCACTCCACATACCTGTTGAAGACGCTTGGGGTAGGGCTGTGGTCACGCTCTCGCTCTCTCTCTCTGGTACGTTCTCGTTCTCTGTCTCGATCCCGGTCCCGGTCCCGATCCCGGTCCCGGTCCCGGTCTCGTTCTTTCTCTCTTCTTGCATAGTAATCCCACTGCTTGCTGGTGTCCACTAGACTAGGCCATGAAGGAGCAGAACCAGGAAGGTGGGGAAAGGCAACTAAGGAAAATATCCAACAGAATCATTGAAACAAGGAAAGAAAAAGACAAAAACAAAACACAATGTATTATATAAATTAAGACAAAACTTTCAATAAAAGCATGCTTCATTAGAATATATAACAAAATTGTATTTTAAATGGGAAAGAGCAAAAATATATTCTTTAATGCCCAAGTTTAGAGAAGCAACATCTAACAAAAATTCTTTAAAACCTTATAAAAATATGCTTCATCTTTTAAGATGAGAAGTAACCAGAGAAACAGATTGACCAAAAATTTCCCACAGTCAAAAATGGATACCAAGAGGTGAACATTTTCAAATGGTGAACACAGAAAATATCTGTCAAGCTAGGAATGTGTACTCAATAAAAGCAGATTTGTCAGCAGATTTTGCAGCAGATTTATCAAATGCAGCACGTTGTTTGATTTCTTGACTGTTGTTTCCATGTGCACTGACAGCATGTTGCTGTCAAGTCGGTTCTCACTCACAGAGACTACGCATAGGGTTTCTAAGGAGCAGCTGGAGGGTTTGAGGCACTGACCTTGTGGCAACCAAGGTCAGTGCCTCAAACCTTATTATCCTCCAGTGTCACACCAAGACTCCACTGGTATTATATACAAGTAAAATGGAGTCTTTTAAAACTAGCATTCTTTCAGATTTATTATGATGTTGTTTTTATAGGTCCAGCGTCAGTTGTGAGAATTTTTGTTTTATGCTAAGGTATAGTGCATACTGAAAGGAGTAGTCTTTGATCTTCATCAGCAGTGCTTCAAGTCCTCTTCATTTTCAGCAAGAAGGTTGATCTATCTGGATGTCACAAGTGACAAGTCTTCCTCCAATCCTGTATCACATTCTTTTTCACATAGTCTAGCTTCTCAGAATATCTGCGCATCATTCAAATTGAATAAGCATGATGAAAGGATAAAACCATGATGAACATCTACCTCATTTTAAACAGTGCAGTATCCCTTCGTTCTGTTCGAACGACTGTCTCTCGTACAGGTACTGCATGAATGAACACAATTAAGTGTTCTGGTAGTTCCATTCTTTACAATGTTATTCATACTTTATGCCTTTGTATCATCAATGAAACACAGGTAAACATCTTTCTGGTACCTGTGCTTTCAGTCACGATCAACCTAACGTCTTCTGAACATGGCTTGAATTTTTGGCAGTTGTACTGTTTTTGAATTATCTTCAGCAAAATTTTGCTTACCTGTGCTATTAATGATACTGTTTGATAACATCCTCATTCTGTTATGTCACTATTCTTTGGAACAGGTACACTCCAGTCTTCCAGTCAGTAGGCCAGGCAGCTATCTTCCAAATTTCTTGGTGTACACAAATGAGTGCTTCTATCGTTACATCCTTTGTAGAAACACCTCAATTGGTATTACATCTATAACTATAAAATTATTTTTAATCAATCCCTTCAGTGCAGTCCAAACTTCTTCCTCCTTTACTTACTGTTCTTATTGTTAAGTGCCATCGAGTAGTTCTGACTCTGTATAGAGTTTCAAAGGAATACCTGGTGGGTTTGAATTGCTGACCTTGTGGTTTGCAGTCCAGTGCTGATCCTACAGCGCCATACCACGATCTTAATCCTATTCTACCTCCTGAAATGTAGAAAGAATCCATCAAATGGATTCTTTCTGGTACAGAAGCTCCATGTCTCAAGTTTGAAGGGGCACAATGAGGGCTGTAGGGTGGATAGGGTTAGGTTTGTCAATGGATCCTTGCAAGACAGCCAGCCCTTGTTATCATCAAAGAATAACATCATAATGGAACAAGTCCTCAGTGCAACTTTCCTGGCCTTTTAAATCACAAGCACTGTTTTCAATTTTTTAAATAATACTTCTTCAAAATAAGCACCAATGATTGTCCTGAGTTCTTCAAGAAAATCTATCAAGATCACCCTTGCAGTTCCAAACAGCAGTTGCCATGCATAACCTTCTGCGTTGGCCTGACTTGAATACAATGACATAGCAGGTCCCCTCAGAAGCCACTGTTCTGGTTGGAACTTGCTCTCTGAATCGTATTGGTAAATCTAAGACTTTTATCCAATTATGACTTATTTCATAAAATTGTCTTCACTAGCTTCAATCTTGTTTAAAATTTTCAGCCATTGACCATGGAATGGTCAGTCAGTCAAGATCAAAAGAGTAACATTTTCCTAAGGACAAAGTTGGGAAAAAATGGGAATGAGGGTGGAATGGAAACAAGAATCCCAGGGAGGAAGTGGAATAACTGTTGTTGGACGGAAGGGACTGTAATCATTACGATAAAGTAGAGTATACGACTTGTTGAATGTAAACTGATGATCTGCTCTGTAAACGTACATTCAATTCACAATAAAAGTAAAAAAAACAATCTAAAGTGTCGAACAATGTTGGATACCAACTTCAGTACTTATCGCATCAACAGTAATGCTATGCTTTTCTTCTATCAGTTTCCTTCAATCATTAAGCTTGGCTCATCTTTAGGCCTTCCCAAGGTTCCTGAAAACTGCTGTTTTACGTGGGGCAGCAATTCCCATAAACTTATTGCAAAGCTCCCACGATTTGGAAGATGTCCACTATAGTTTTATTTAAAATTTGGTATTAACCCTGACCTCAAATAGTTTTCTTCCATGGCACCAAAAGTATCTGTGGTACAGTGAATTATTTATGTCTCTTCTAGCCATAGCCTTTGTAAACTTCCACCCAGGTATGGGTAAGAAAAGGTGGGGGAAGACGTTAAGGCTTCATTTATGAGTGACTGTTAGCAGGCCTAATTGTGACTGGTCAGTTGTGCCATCCTGCTGGATATAAAATAAGTCATCTCAAAATCAGAAGGGGAATTGCATTACCAACAACGATGAGCCAGGAGTGGAATACATGCTTTGGACCCTAAAGTCTCTGCACATTGAACCTCCTCGACCAAAGGGCAGAAACCAGTGACACTAGAGAAGCAGAATCAGGAACCCGAGCATGAGACAGAGCAGTGGACTCGCCACACCGTGGAGCAAGTCAAGCTGAGTGACTTTGGACAGGAGGCTTGCTGGTAGTGGGGTAAGCTGCCTCTAGGCACTTGGGAGAGTTAGGTGTGCTGACCCGCGCAGAATTAAGAGGTGAATACTTTCAAGCTACTGCTTATGGTGGAATGTTAAGTCCTGTGGGCATTTATCAGCAGTCCTAAAGTATGAACTGCAACCTTTGTAGCAATACTTTTTCTTGTATGCCTTAAAGGGTCTCAGAGAGGAGTTAGGTCAGTAAAGAGTGAGCAGGAAGGGGGTTTTAGATAAACTATATGTAATGGACATTTAGTAAAAGTCAAATGTTGAACTCACTTAAGAGAACTGTACCCGACAATATTGGCTCGGTAGGTAATTTCAATAATAAAGTCTTAGACTTTCTAATATGGACTGTTTCTCATGTTTATTTGTATTGGAGCAAATACACAAGAAATGGCAAAGCAAACATGTAAGTCCTACAACAGGCAAAATTTTTTTAAAATTTAATCAGTAATGCTTATTATGGAGTGCTTAAATATTACAGGAACTTTATTTTACAGGTAAGAAAAAAAATAGTTACCTTATTCAAAGTAGCCAAAGTAAGAAGGGCCCAAGACTCAAGCACAGGCCGTGCAATTATGCTGCCGTACCTCAGAGCTCAGAACAAGGCACTACCCATAACATCAACAGCTAGCACATGAGCGTTTATTAAATGGCAGGACTGAGGTGATGGCAATATACTCACATTCAGCTTCAACTTAAGAGGAAAATAGTGCTATTTAACAGCGGAAGAGCTGTAAAAGTCACTTTAACTATTAAGAGGGATAAGCAAGATTCCAGTCAAGGGAAGATAACTTCCTGGGTGTCTTGAAAAAAAATATACACATAGACTATATA